TGATTTTATGTTTTCCAGTAGAGAAAAAAATTGGTCATTCCCCTTTAGGATTTTCGAAGGAATATGGGAAAAATAGTTTTGTCCAAATTAACCGTCGGTTTCATTTGTTTATTCAACAATTTATAAAAAAATGCCAATTTTTCATTTACCTTTTTGCTTGTATCTCCGCTACTATTGCTCCTAAACAAATATTTTTACCACCAATCTCTTTGTCACCAAATTTCATATGAAATAGATACTTTTGCAAACAAATTATTAATTATTAATAACACGTTAAGGGCACAAGAGTGCGAAAAAAATTTTTTTTATACCGAAAAACTTTTAATCGACATAGGAAAAAAACTATTTTGTCAATTTGAATGTAACCATGAGAAAATTTAGATATTAAGTTGTACAACAAAAAGATATTTGTACAATTACAAAATAATTCTTTTTTTTTTGTTAATTAATTTTCTAAAGTAAAACTTCGAAGTGTTATTACAAACTTCACTGATGGTTTATCGATATTTCGTTTTGGTAAAAACGTTGTATTTAATATAATTAATATTAATGAAAAAAAAATTGGATTTTTGTTGATTTTGACGTTTTTTCACGAAAAATTGTATTCTGCAACTTAAACACTTGCAAATATCTCAGTCAATTTTGCACATTCTTATTTGCAACAAAGGGTGTTGTATTTGTCATAAAAAAAAAAAGAATTCTTTAGTTTATTCTAAAGCTGAGATAATGTAAGGTATTAATGTTGTTAGCAATAAGAGACTAACAATCAAGTTTTATATTGCGAAAACATTTTTTATCATCTTCATGTACATCTGCATCATACTGCCGGAGCACTTTATCAATTTCAATGAAAGGAAAGCTAAAAAAAATTAAGAATGTTGCATTGTAACAACCAGTGGCAGCTCAGTGCTCCCATTTGTACCCCTCTCTTGCGACTTGGTGACCGAACGGTTGCAGTGCACATGTGGGAGAACACGGCCTGCAGCTGGCGTTTGAATTAAACTAAGTTGCTGTACATAATTGAATAGTAAAAACATAGCATTATACATTGAACATGCTGAATTAAAAAATTTAAAACAAAAACGGATTGTAAAAAAGTAAATTTTTTTAAATTTTCGTATACATTAAATTTCAGATTTTTTTGACACATTAAAATTCAGCTTTTTAATTAAATAATCCTTTAGGCCAATGTAAAAATTATTTCCCTACCTATCTCTCAAATCATTATGTAGATGAATAACAGAATAGAATATTAATGAATTTTTTATTTATTTTTTATCCAATCCCTTTCAAATTTTCGAGGGCTTTCGTTTCATACAATAGAATAAACACTATAAAAGTTAGATTCATGAGTAAGCTCATTTTATACATATTATAAAAAAGATACTTACAAAAAAGTGTAGTCAAATAATTAAATTAGTTAGAAAACTGAACAATATCAAACTAGGTGTTCAAATTCAAAATTCAAATAGATAAGAAAATGTAGTTACCGTCATTTTGTCGATTTTAATAGAATATCATTGAATTAATACTCTAATTTGATAAAATTTATTAAAATCAAAGTTTCTTGTAGTAATTATGATTTTAAACAATGTTTTACTACACATTACCAGAAATATAACCTTCTACTTGTATTTATACATATATATAGATATTTTTTTTTTTCATATCATAGTGCACTACGTCTTTCTCTGGGCACTCAGCACTTTGGGAACAGGGGAAGGATGGGGATGGGAAGTGTGTGGGGGATTTCGTTTCTCATTTGCCAGGATAATTAGTTCTGCGGGTGGGGAAACCACTCGGGAAAAACCCATCCCGGAACGGCCAGTGTATTGCCTAAGTTCCGAACAAATGTCTATATTGTCTATAGACGTTAGGCCTGAACTTTTGCACACCTCCCGCTCACGTTGTCGTAACGATAAAGAGACAGTCAATCGATCTGAAACATCACCAGCGCAAGCGAACGAAATAATAGTCGAGCGATCACCTATCCGACTACCAACGGCAGCCAATTCTGCTTGACCTTCCAGATCGACGAGACTGCAACTTTACCGCTGCGCCACAGTGTCGGTCTTCTACTTATATTTACTACACTTTCACTCTGTTTGTATATTTAACATTTTCATATCCGTAGCGAGCTTTCTCGCAAATGCTGTAAGATACGACGATCTCTCTAGTGGCCCTGGCTTTCAAGTCATGCTGACGCGGTTCCAGAGTAGATCTGAAGGCACATGGCATGGGAGAAGGGTTGGAGAGTATTGGTGGTCTAATAAAAAAATTCACGAAATTCTACACTACCGTAGTCCCTGCATTTCCTCGCCGACTACAGAAGAAAAAAAAAAACTTTTACACTGTATACCTGCGACTTCTATTCTTCTCACTTCTTACCTAATTATCTTCTATTTTTTTTTTTCTTACTACTCTTCGTAGTAGTTCCTTTTCTTTGGCATCTATGCATAGTATTTCCTTTATTCTACTTTTATTTTATTTTTTCCAACACCTTTACTATGTGCTTATGATACTTTACTTCTTTCTTGCAAATTCTAAATGTTATATTTTCCTCTTCTTTTAAAAATTTTTTTCTTTTATTTTCATTTGCATTCATTTTCACCAAGTGACAAACTTCTTGTCTTTTCGTGGCATTTCTTTTTTCAGATACATTGATGTGATGTTCTCAATTTACAGATCTTCTCAATATTAATACAAGACTATTATACAATTAACTTAGTACACATTTGTATCATGTACTAAACAAGGGCAGCAATACTTTTGAATAGAGGAGGCTGTAAAGTGAAGTCGTAGATTGTTCAATTTTTGTTCACTATATTTCTTATTTTATTTATACTTAGTTGTTTAGACATAGTCATTATTGAAGAGTGTTAACTGCGTACTTTGTGACCGGTAAAGGTGTCAAAACACGTATTGATTAGTCAATTATGACAAAGACATCAACACCCAATGTATTTTAGTGCAACAATTTAACAGCCAGTAGTGTACTACCCCGTATCGAGAATCATTGGTTTAATATAAATTAAAGCGCAAATTTAACCAGTCAAGTGGTAATACAACAAATCAAGAGTTAGTTAAAAATCATAACAAGCACTTATCTACTAAAAAACTATAAACAACTAACAAGAATAAAAATTTAAAGTGATATTATATAATGTGCACATAGCATAAATATAATTTTTACTTGGAATTAGCTAATTATTATATATTAATAAACATTAAATTAGAGAGTAGTTTGACTAACTGTTGGTCTCATACCGCAGCCTGTATTGGGGCGTGAGACCACAACTTTCCAATATGAATGGGAAGAAAAATTTAAGGGATTTCATAAGCAACGTAACATTATATTTGAAAAAAAATATCTAATTGGGTTATTAAAATGTCAAATCCTCATTTTTTAATTAAAACCTTACAGTTATATCGAAAAGTTATAAGTTATAAGGGTCTAATAATTTATATTTATTATAAGCACGTACTTTTAAATGAGCTGTGGAAAAAAAGAACTCAACCATATCGATTTTTTGCCATGGTTTAAGTGTAAGGCACTGACTTCTGTGCAATAAGACTTAATATGTAGGGTTGCTAAACTTCGCCTTTTCTCGAAATTCAGAGTGCGCAGAAATGAAGATTTAGGGAGAGAAAATTGTACATGACTTGATTAAATTGCTCTACATACATGTACATGCATAATGTTATATTTTACTCCAAAACTATAAATAAACATCGAGCATTTATAAATTATCCAGCCTGTTAAGTGACGACTTGCGTAAATACATAAATTTTTTATTTTAATTCCGTTTTATATTATATTTATTCCCATGATAAAATTTTAAGACTCTTAAAAAAGTCGTGCTTAACGAAAGTCGTCGCCTAACAACGCTGACTGTGTACTTCGTGGCTCTCGGAAGTATCAAGTGACAACCGAAGTGAGCTGCTAAGCCTAAACACATAAAGTCAGCAAATACCGGCCCCATAGCAACTAAGACCAAGATATTTAAACTAAAACTTCGTGCAAGATGCATTTCTTTGCGCGGTGTTTTAGTTACTAGCTTTCTACCGCTCATCGAGTGTGGTTCCTAAATATTAGTTTAATATTTCAATCTAACTTGTTATATTGCTCGATAAACCTATAGCTTTATTGCTTGACAAATTTATGGTTATTATTGTAATTTATTGCGAAGGTAAATAAAATTAAAAGAAAAAGTATACTTGACTGTGCAGAATATTTTGCTTGTTGAAATTCAATAAAGTTAATAATCGCAAAACAAGCAGAACTGAGGAATCATACAAGATTAAATAAAACAAACAAGAAAATGTACTTGGACAATTATATCTTACAAAACTTAACACACACTCTCTCTCTTTATTTATATTTTTTGCTTTTCCTTTCTCTAATATACAAAGGAACAAATAGTTGGACTATCTGCTGTCCCGCAGCCTGTGAAGGAGCGTGGGACTGTAGTCTACAATCTTTGGTTTGAAACCAAAGGCAAAATTAAATGATATTAATTATCATTTAACACAGCCTATCGTAATATAATGGTAAAATGTGCTTTTGTACTATTTATACGACAAAAACGTTGTCATAGTACATATTTTAAAAATCCTGTGGGTGTTGATTTAAGCAAAAAAAATGTATTAACTATGTACGCAGTATTAAAAAAGAAATTTAATTATCTTGCTACAAACTACTTTTTAATATAACATAAGCTTCTAGTGAAATTGAAAGAAGCATTCTTAAATTAGTACTAATTAAGACAATTACAAGACAAACACAAATCATATATTAAGGAAAAAGTTTCACCATTTTATATTGTAATCTTCGTGATTTCTTGAAAAATGCCTACTGCAAAGTCTACATTAATTTGCATAATCAGAAGAGACGTAATGCAAAAATTGACCCAAAATATAAGACAAATATAAAATGACAAGCCAGAAAGTTTTTATTGAGCTATTATTTAAATATATAATGTTAGGTTTAATAAGCTTACCCTATCAAGATCAGGATGGACCAGAGCAACGTAATCATTACAAGCTACAACATTTCCTAAAGCTGACAATCGTTCTTCGACTCTATGAACTTTGACGTTATCAGGTAGAGAGTTCCTAATATGCAATAATTCTGTATCTGTGGCAGTATTTGGTATAACGAGGCCATGTTTGTTACCTAGAGTAGTAATAATAATAATAATAATAATAATAATATTTATAATAATCATAGTTTTTAGTAGTAATTATGATTTTAAACAATNCTCACAAAAGGACCGACCATAAAGATGTTGACTAGCGTTATACTGACGCTTATCATTTTGTCCCTTGTCTTTAAGTAAGTTATATTTTTTTATCTTACCCAAACACATACTTAATAATTATGTTTGAATATTTTAGTAGCTATTTTTTTCGTAGCTAGTTTTTTTAGTGTGTTTATTCTATTTTTAAAACATATAAAACGCCTTGCAAAGAAATTAATCATCGGCCAGGTTTCCCACGAACTTGCAATTAACATTTGAAATTCTATGGGAGAAATTGTACTAAAAACTTCCCAAGTTAGTTATCAAACGAAATTTTTTTTAAAATTGCAATTAACATTTCATTTTTCAAATTGTGCGTAAGAATAGTTATCATTTAAGAGTTATTTTTAACAAATGTACATGGATAATAAACAACCAATTCAAGTGCAAATTGTCGTTGGTATAAATGAACATTACGTAAAATTTACTCAAAGATTTTATTCAAAGTAAATAATGAGAAGTTATTTATTTTTTATAAAACGTAAAATGTCACATTCATGGGTCAACAAAAGGTTATGGGTCCATATAAAGTGTTATAAATAATTTTGCGATTTAGATGTTTCTAAAAAGGTAAGAGACACTTTTCCAATATTTGGTCTATTCAATAAGACTAAAAAAGATGACGTCCTGACTAAAGTTTCGTAACTTTTTTTCCATCCTAATCCTTAAGGACCGAATGTAAGATTTCTACATTTATTTTTTTTACTTTTCGTTATTTGCTTGAAGAGTTTTCGTTTATTATGAAGAGCAACTTAAATAATTTCAGTCAATCGGAGATACTTAATGAAGATGTGTCCTTCAAATAGTGACTGTTAAAAAATTCAACAAAAAGTAGTCTGATGCTTCTAAGAAAAAACACTTAAACGTAATTTTTTAAGACAGTTGCCGATTATCGTAAATCGATTATTACAAATATTTCAAGTGCCATTGACAGTTTTTTGTCAAGATCTTAAGAAATCAAGTATCGATTTTATTTATCCATGCAATTACATTACAGAAAGCGTATTACAATTTTTTCCGCTGAAAACTCTTTTATGTAACTTTTTGTAGATCATGAGCATTTGGCATTTTGTTTCACGGCTGTGACAATAGATGAGTGGCTATTAAGCCATGAACTTTGGCCCCTTGTATGAAAAACACTACAGCAATCGTTTAATATTATAGAAAATTATGTTCTGAATGATTTTTCACACTACCGTTAACTATGGAAAAATTGTTTTATTACTAAAGACTTAATGCAATATAAAATTTCTGAAGCGGAATATTTTAAGAGCTGAATAGTAAGAAAAAGAAACACTGTCTAAAAATAAAAGTTGATGTTTACGCAACGTTTTATAATTAATCTGCTTCATATTTGTTTTTATTTTTTATCTTATTTTTTGAACCATTAAATATACTGTGACTTTAATGAAGCTATTATTTAATTTTAGTACGTTAAACTATTATACGCCAGATGGGTCGTGGGAGGCTGTATCCTGCACTGGATAGAGGCTAGAACTTGGAGGGTAAAGGCACAGAAAATAAAATTAAACGGGGATGCATAAAATATAGCTTGACTTAAACTATTTTGAATCAGCTTAATTTCTTTAGAATATAGATTTTTAAAAAGAAAGAAAATGAAGAGCTCAGCTCGGAGCGGCTGGCTCTCGTACTCATCGTGGCGTGGACCGTGCTGCTTCTACGCGGAGCACAGAGTTAAGACCCACACTGTCTGTAGACAAACGGTATACATGCGTGGAGCACTCAGCTCAAACCGTTTCTGACACACACACACGAACCCGCACGCGCGCGCGCACACACACACGCACGCACGGACGCACACACGTACACACAACATAGAGTGTCTGATGTCATACATGTTACAAAAATAAAATTAACTCAGCAACTTAACTTTAAGCCCCCTCTCCTAATTTTTAAGAATGTTGCAAGCCTACCTTTAAGGGCTCAATGTGTAATAACAAAATTTTTAGTTGTTCTCTGCAAGCTCCTATGCATGCTATCTCGCAGTCCTCTAAGAACCACTATGTAGGACACTACGAATAGAGAATAGAGATAAACAAACAAATTTAATATGATTTATAAAATACAAAAGTAAAGAGACAAACGTGAATTCAAACTCCAAATAAACATATTAAGGCAAAATATTAGAAATTACCTTTACAGCATAGGTACATAGAAAAAAACAAATACAAAAAAATTTGAAATTAAAAAAAAACATACACAAAACAAACTAAGACATAGATGGAGAATAAAGTAACAGCGAAATTCATGACGCACGTGTAGCAAAATTAAATATAAAGTAAAAAAATGATGAAATGGGAAAACACAAAATAATGCCAGAAAAATTAAATTGGGTGCTATTGTTCGATCCTCTAGAATAACGAACAAAATTAGTCTTCATTGCCTACCTAGCTTTTTATTTTAGTTTTATCATTTTTTCTGCAGGATGTGGTGTGATAATATCTTTTAGAAATAATTCATGCCTTTTATTCTATTATGTAAGACATGCTAGACTTAAAAAAAATCTTAACATTAATTTTATCAAAATATTGTCACGTACAGTATAGCACATACTGCGTGGCATGGACCACGGCTTGTTAGTAAAAAAAAGACGAGTGGGGGAAGAAAGAGTATAAAAAGGCTCGCAGCAGTGGCCAAGGCGCATTAGAACGCGGGGGCTAGATGTAAGCTGGTTGTAATTAGTACCTTAGGACCACCAAGCGCCTTCTTTTAAGAAAATATAACAATAAAGTGATCAACTCCGTTTAACTGTCTTGTTGTTATGAAGCACCCCGAGCCATTGAAACCCAATGTAACAGTTTTGGTGCTAGGTGTGGGGTAGGCTTGGTAACAAAAGTAAATTTTTTTTCTTTTCTTTTTAGTCAGGACATTTTGGAGTTTTTGGGTTACTATCGGAAAGCACACAATTGGTGAGTAAGGAAGGACAAGGATTAACAGCCACTCACAAAAGGACCGACCATAAAGATGTTGACTAGCGTTATACTGACGCTTATCATTTTGTCCCTTGTCTTTAAGTAAGTTATATTTTTTTATCTTACCCAAACACATACTTATTGTCCCTTAGGGTTGTTTAACGAAGGAACGACATACAAAAAGAAAATTAATAAATACACTGAATACCGCTAGTTACGCTTGCTTTGGTAGCCAACGAAATAAAAATATATATAAAAAAAAAAAAAAAAATTAAAAAAAAATTAAAAACGAAACAGCAGAAATGGAAGAGTTAGGAACTAAATCAGAAAAATTATAATTAAAGAAGAATAAGATTAAAGAAAACGTGGGCATGGAAAAGAAACGTGATTAAGTAAATATGAAAGGGCTAGGCAGAACGAGCTGGTGAAAAAAATGTACCGAGAGGCTAGAGCACCCGGAGCCATCAGATTCCTATGTAACAATATATCACACATACGGGAAATTAAAGTTATCGAGTAAACTCCACGAAAATCTCTTTTCATATTATGCTCTGTAATGTTTACTAAGGCTTTAAACTTTTTTCTTAAGTACCATACTTGCTTTCGTTGTTTGACGATGTTGGGATAAGAACAATGAAAAATTTGAACTAATTTTTGTTAAACTACACTTGAAACTCAACACTAAATGATTCCTTTAAAAAAAAATTGTTTCAATACTCAATAAATAGAAGTATAAATAAAATAGCCTACAAATTGTAACCATAATAAAGTTTTTGAAGAGTAAGTTACGTATTTGAAATTACATCGTGACACTTCATTATCACTGTAGGATGTTTATTGTTTTCGATGATTGCGACAAAGTGGACACTGATTTGACTAAAAAAAATTTATATTTAACCTACGATTCTCGTAAAAAAAATATTCATACACATAAAAAATTACATTAAACGCTACTAAGAAAACGAGAAGCTTATGCGTTAATAATACAGGCTGCTGTAAATTTGGAATTCAGTTTATATAGAAAGTCCTTGTGGCAGTAAATTTTAATCATATTTTTCCAACAGCTAGAGCTACGGCTAACAAAAAAAATTTATTTCCTAAAATTAGGAAACAAAAAGTTTCATTGATGGATAATTAGTCAAAAATTGAAGTTGTGTAATCCAAAAAGTGCAAAATTGATACTTTTACTCATTGTTTCCACTATGTCACAGTGAAAAAATCTGGGTTTTTTTCTCAAAATCGTTAATTTTAAGAACTGAGTAAAGTAGGACTACAAAACTTTGTAGAGATTGAAACTTTATAAATTAAATAATAAAAGTCTTAAGTACTTAAAAAAAATATGGGAATATGTCTTTCATAGTTCTAGACCGTCAAGTTTTCATACGGAAACATTACTTTGTTAACGAAAAATTGTAAGTTTAAAAAATAAAGCTTCAACTATTCAATAGTTTTATGAAAGTTGCCGTTGGAGAACATGATCGCAAAGTAGCTAAATTCCTTTGTCAATACCTATATTTTACAACAATCCTGTGGGTGTCGCCCATTTTTTTTTCTCAGACCATCAAAATTGTGTCCGAAAAATGTGCTTTTTTTAAAGGTATTACTTTTTGCAAGGTGCCGAAAACAAGAGACTGTAGGATCATGCGGTTTTTACAGGTAAGTAGTTGGTAACTTTGGAAAAATTTAAAAAAAAACTCATTTTACCATAAATGAAAAAACAAGATAATTAAAAAAAAAAAAAATTTACAATTTCTTCCTTTTTAAATACTAATACTTCAAATCATAGGTAAACAAAAGTTGATCAACACACTTGAAACTTTGCGCAAAAGTAAAAGAATGTATCATCGTTATTTTTCTTTCCGCTTTCGCCTTTTTTTGTGTAAGATAGCGCAAAAATGTAACTATAACTTTATGGTTCAATTATTATATTATTTGAACATTCA